TATATAGTTACATTATATGAAATAATGAATATAAATAGTTTAAGTATTTAATTAGAAAATTTGTAAATCTAATTCTATATATTAATTACTGTGAGATTGAATTATTATCATCATTATTATTTTCTTTTGTTTTAAAGTTGGTATCACTGTGTTAATATCACTATTTTGTAATTTGTTACTATCCGCCATTCAATCGTGCGATTGGTAAATTAAACAAACGAAGAAGAAAATATTAACCAATCAAAGGACGACGTAAGTAAAACAAACATAAACAAACAATATCTGATAAAAGTGGTAACTAAAAATGATAATAAACACTCATGCTACTATCTCGAAAGTTCACCAATGACTAACGCCTATTATTTTCCTCAGCGGCCATATTTAATGACAGACACGTCATGAAAGGTGCAACGAAGTAAGTTAAGACATTAGACTTTATATTATCGTTATTATTATCCTTTCTCACTAATTAATATCTACAAATAAATATTTGCGTTCTTAGTAAAAGGAATTTAAAACGGTCGGTTTTAGATGTCACCGAGTGTTGCTGACGATTAAATGTTACGTGATACTTTTTAATCGGATTAATAATACATTATAATTATTTATAAGAAATATACTATAGAGACTAAAGACAGTAGTAGAGACACGTATAAGTATGTATTGTATATAGACGTGTATATATGCTGTAGTGGTGATATTTTAACCTAACCTAACTTTTTTTTTAAATTATCTACTTTTAATCATCATACGAGATGTAAGTTGCAAGCAATTTTTTTTCATTGATGTAATAAATTGGTAGTTTTGAGCTTAACATAGAAAAAAGGTATTTCTTTTTATTTCAATTAAATATAAAAGTTTTTACTTTTATATTTTTTTACTTTTGTAAACATTTTCTATTAAACAGAATCTCAATTTTATTTAATAATTAATTTTTATTAAACGATACATATTTATATACTTTTTTATTATTATATATTAATATAATAATTACAATATTAATATAATAATAATAATAATATATATTAATAAATTTTAATATATTATATAAACATATTTATTATTATTATTATTATTATTATTATTATTATTATTATTATTATTATTATTATTATTATTATTATTATTAATATTATTATAAAAGAAACTTTCGTATTATATATAAAAATTACTTTTATTCAAATTAACGTGTATACATATTATTCTGTTTATTTTAATATCGTTTATCGTATAGAAAAAATTGTATAAAAAAAAGAAAAAAGAAAAAAGAAAAAAGAAAAAAGCTTATAGAAACGATTAGAAATTATATTTGTATATATGTAGAGAGTACACACGAGTATAAAAGTGTAATCATCTATACGAAAATATATTCTTCGAGGAGTATCGTAAACGGTAGAACGTAATCTAAGCAATGAATGAGATATCCTGTAAATATTTACATTTTGTAGATATAAACAAAAAAGAGAAAGAAAATACTTTGTAAGGAAGTGTCATATGAAACTTCCTGATTGTTCAAAATTCTAATCAAACAATTATTTGATATTATATGATATACCCGATATAAATGATAGAAACAAATTTTTGATAATATTATTAAAAAAATTTAAACAAAAATTTTATAACAAAAATATCTCGAACGAACTACGATCAATGATTCAAGGTCCAATTTGTTAACATTGTACTCATGATTATACGTACGGGAATAAGTTTACGATAGGGAATGAAAAGATAGCGTAAAGTTTATGGTCAAGGTAAAGAAAATATTTGTACAGTCTGTTATAGAATGAGGGGGGGAGAGGGAGGGGGGTGGGTGGTTAGTAGTTGACGAGTGGAAAAGTTTTGATAGAAGCCCTGTTTATAAAGTATAAAAACCCTTTTTTTTTTTTTTATTCTTATTGTTGGTCCTTTTTTAATGTTCACGATGACGACGATAATGATGATGTAACATAATAAATATAGATCCTATTTAGAAACATAAAAGCCACTTTGTGCTTATTAGCCAATTATATTCTTACGCCTACGTAACGTTTGATCAAAGAATGCGATGAAAAAAATAAAAATTATTAAAAAAAAAAAAAATAATAAAAAGAAAGAAGTATAAAGATAGAAGAGATAATCGAAAGATTATCAGGTATGATTACAAATGATGAAAGATGTCATTTTCTGTTAGATTGGATGTTAATTTTCCATTTTTCTCAAGTGTTGCAAAATTGTAAAATATCTTACGATATGAAATTTATGAATAAGCATAATTGGTTATACATTTAATATATTTTTTGTTTTTAAATAAATTTAAATTTGTATATAACATTTATTTTATTTCATATATAATATATAAATTAATATTTTTATTTTAATTATTATATAATTAAAATTAAAATATATTAATATTAATATTTTAATTTATTATATATTTATATATACAATATAATTATTTATATATTAATTCATATATAATTTAAATTTAAAGATATAATAATAAATATATATATATATATAAATTTAAAGTTAACACTGGTCGAAGATATAGGTAGGGAAAAATCGTTTATATTTAAACATCTGTGATTCCGTTATCTTTCCATGCGAACTTTCTTATCAATCAAGTTCATCGCGAACAAATATGTATATGCATTTTTCTTTCTATCCTTTTTCTTTTTTTTTTTTCCTTCTGCTCACGATCGCGCACGCGTGATACTTTTTTTATTATTAAAATTAAATGTTCTTTTTCAATAATAATTTTCTAAAATAATATTGATAAATAAATTTATATAATAAAATATAAACGAAATATTATATTCTATTGATTGGAAGACGAATACTAAATAATCATAATAAATTAAATGTATGTAATCTGTTTTATACAAATAGTTAAAGTTCATCTATTATTTATATTTTGTTGTTGTCTGAATGACTCATGTGTTTATCAGATGAATTCTTGTACTTTCGTGTGGAAATTGTATATATAAAAATACGTAAAATTTGTAATATTAATCTATAACATATAAAATAATTATAAATTAATTATAAATATAAATATGAATATAAATATAAATATATATATATATAATTAATAATATATAATTTTAAATATTCATTATAGATATATACAATTATTTAAATAAATATATAAAAAATATATACAAAAAATAGGTAAAATTTGTAATATTATATTAAAATATATAAAATAATTATAAATTAATTATAAATATAGTAAAACGTTTTTATATATTAATATATATATATAAATTAATTATGTGAATATAATGAGAAGTATAATTATAAATATATAAAAAAAAAATAGGTAATATTTGTAATATTAATTTATAATATATAAAATAATTATAAATTAATTATAATTAATATATATATATAAATAGATCAAAATTTTTTAATATTAATTTTGTTTTCTTTTTTTCATGAATTTATTATTTTCCGTTCAAATTTATTTCTCAATTCAAAATATAGTAAACTTATTGGATGAATTATTCTGTTCAAGAATGCGTACGGTAATAATCGAAGATCCAACAATTTGATCTGAATTTAACATGAACGATATTCACTCTCTGGAATCGCACAAATCCTAAAACACATATCGAACTTCGACGATTTGTCAGCGCGTTCTTCGCAATCCAAAGATCCTAGGTATTTAGATGTATTTGTACATGTATATATATATACACACATATGCCAAATACTTATAAAACATATTATAAAAATTTGCAAAGAATTTGTTCGTTAATTCGATAATTAATTAATTACTTCTTTAAACGTGTTTCGATAAATAATCCTAATTATATTGTCTGTAGTATTTTACAAATTTCAATAATTTCATTCAAATTTTATTCATGGCGAGAGTAAATAAAGAAAAAAATAATTATTCGTGTAAATATTTTAACACGTATTTCATCGTTTATTCTCTTAATTATATTATTATTATTATTATTATTATTATTATTATGAAAAAATTATTTTTTTTCTTGAGGTTTGTTTACCCGGGCGCTCAGTCTCTGGACCATTGTACCCGGGCGCTCAGTCTCTGGACCATTGTACCCGGGCGCTCAGTCTCTGGACCATTGTACCCGGGCCCCTTACGGGGAGAAACCTATGACCATAGCGGTCCCGCGGGCAGCCCCGACTCCCTTGCAAAGCGCAGGAGTCTGGCCGCCTCTGAGTCCACTAGGTCGGAATTATGAATAATTAATTTCAAATGTTTATTAAATATAAAAGAGAAAATTAATTTTTACAAATTAAATTTCATACTTTTTAAAATAAAGTAAATCGAATTAACCTTAAACGTTTAACATTTGTGCTTAAATTTAAACAATTTTTTAAGATAACTTATAAACAGAAAAGAAAACGATAAAAATGGCGGGAATTGGTATTTGCGGCAATGAACTTTCAAGTTTCTACTGCCAATTATTAATAATAATAATAATAATAATAATAAAATGATAAAACAATAAAAAATAATAATAATAATATTGTTAAAAGAATTAAAACGAATAAAAAACTTTAATGATTTCGTAAATCTTGTTCTGTTTTTTTTTTTTATTGGGTCAATTGCACGATCTTACCTCATCTTCGATATACTTCGATATATAATCGTACTATTATAATTATAATAAACGTGTATTTATACACGATGCACATACACATTAGTATAAAAAAGAAAAACTAGTATGGAAATAAGTGTGACGAGATGTAATCGATGAAGATGATCTGCTGTTAATCGAAGAATGGAATTATTGAGATGCTATAGTATCGAACAAAGAAAGAAAAAAAAGAATAAAAAAGAAAGAAAGAGAGAGAGAGAGAGAGAGGAGGAAATGGCATCCGTGCCACTTTAAGAAAGTAAGTCAATGTAATTCGTTGAAGTTGTAAGGTTGTACCAGCTGTTAAATAGCCACGATCTTGAGACCTTCGTCTAGTCTGGGATATATCTTATTACAAGGGCAACCTCGAATTTATTTTTTATTTTTACATTCTCTTCCTTTAAATCTTACGCTTATGCTTCCGTCTTTTGTTGCATTATATTTATTTCATTTTTTTTTTTATTTTTATAATTAGTAATATTTCATTTAAAATTCAACCAAGTCATTGATATCGTAACGTAATTTTTGTTAAATAATGTAAAACGTGGTTTGTTAATTAATATGTTTTATTAATAATAATTAATATTACTATAATATATATATATTTAATGTTTTAAATTATAATATATTATATTTAATAATTTAAAATAAATATAATAACATATCTATAAATATATAAATAAAATTGTAGTAATAAATATTTTTTTAAATATTAAAAATTAAATATTAAAACATTTATTATATAATAAATATTTTGTAAATTATAATATACTATATTTAATAATTTAAAAGAAATACAATATATTTATATTAATAAATATTAATAATAAATAATTATTATTTATGGTATATAAAATATAATTTATTTTATAGAATAGAAAAATACTATTTATAATCAATTTATAACTTTAATATAAATTATTGATAACGATAAATAAATAATACATATATATATATATTTTATGCATATAAATATTCCGTATGATTATTATTTAAAATAAAACAAATATCAATGAAATATATATTACATTTAACAATATTCCAATTAGATTCAAAATAAAATATAACCAATAAGAATTATTTTTTTGTATTTCCAATTATTTCAATTAAAATGTTCATTTTAATATTCAAACAAATAGATGAGTATTTCAAATATTTATGCATTTTATTATTCGACTAATTTTGAATTAGTGTTAGAAAGGAAGAAAAGAAAAAACAAAACATTAAAAAATTCATTATGAATAGAGAAACGAGGTTGAAATGAAAAAAAAAAAAAAAAATAATAATCCTTGTAACGTCTTTCTTCTTCTTATTTCATTTGAAAGTATAATTAGATTTAAATATTGACAGATGATGTATCTAGATAATCAATCAAAGAAAAAAAAAAGAAAGAAAGAAAAAAAAAAAGATCAAACAATACTAACCTTTGGATAATTTGTCGACTGATTCGAATCGACCTTCGACCTTATTTCGTAAAGAATCCAAATCGAAGGGCGCCGTGAATCCATGATCCACACTTCTGCTCTTACTCCTGTAAAAATTACAACAATAATTCAATTTAATTTAATTTATCATTAACAATTATTATTATTATTATTATTTTTATTATTATTATTATTTTCTAACATTTAACAATACAATTATTATTATTTGTTTCGTCGATAACTTTGATGAAAAAATTTTCAAGAACGAATCACTCGATTCGTCGTTCCAATTTTTATTGTTTTTTTTTTTTTATTTTTTTATTTTTTAATTAAAAATTTGTCATTAAAAAACAAAAACGAACATCTAACACGTTATATATTATTATATAACACATTCAAAATGCAGCAATGCATGCGCTAGTTTTTATATATGCAAATGTGTCTGTCTCTGTCTGTCAGTGTTTGTTTGTTTGTCCTTTTTCTGTTTTGTTTGTTTCTGTGCATACTTGGGTGTGCTTGTGTGCGTGTATACGCGGTTTTATTATGCATACGATGCGAAAGACAATAAAAAAAATAATAATAATGCAGATATTGTTGAAAATAAGAAAAAACTACAATTTTATGTCGAATTTTTCACATATTTTTTTTCTGATTGTTAATCAAAGATAAATAATTTTGTTTTGTTTTGTTTTGTTTTAATTACAATATATTAGGTTGACAAGAAAGTAATTTCAGCTTGCACCAATAGATAGCGTTATGTAAGAATTTTTTTACTTTTGAGGTTAGATAGTTGACACTTTTAGGTTGCTATAGAAACAAATTCCGTGTAATTTTAAGGTAGTACCCTCCTGTGTCGGTTTAAAAAAATCGATTTTTTTTTTTTTTTTTACATATTCCGTAAGAAAAACATTTCAAAAATA